TTGCGCTGTCTGTCTCTCCGTCACTTCTCTCCGCAGATGCAGGCCAGAGAACGGCACGGGTGACATTTTTCGACACCCTATGCATACCCATAAAAATTTATGCACGAGTACCACTCACTAATCATAAGACAACATTCAATACCGACACACACGTATTTTTTATGAGTACAACGTGTGTTTTGCCTGTTTCTTGAATGCTTTCATTGCTCTTTGAGTAAGAAAATGTGAATCCATTTTTTGATCTAACGAATAAATGTTTGTTCATTCACGCAATGCCGATAGTACATAAGGCTATAAATATATTATATTATATTTCATTTTGTTCGTTTTCTTACATCTTGATTTTTAATAAAATTTTTATGAGAATTCCAAAAAAAAAATTTTATGTTAAAAAAGGTTTTTTATAATTTATATAAGGTTACATTTGTATATTAATTTTATTTATATTTAATGTACTATGTACGTATTTTTAATTGAAAATGTTGTATTATATTGTATTCCAATGCGACATATTGACGTGACTTGTGAGAAAAAAAAAATACCTTAAGCCAAAATATCTTTTGTCCGCGAAATCTTAATACATTATATGTTCATATATACCGCCTTCGTCCGAACCGCCCACATTTGTCCGCTATTCAATCCGTTTTTAATCTTATGACTGATTGTGACCAGCTCGTAGCTGTGAAGTGGTCCAACGTCAATAACTCACCATCTTTAGCACTTATCACGCACCATGACTTCACCGCGGGCGTTTTTGACATGCCCCTAGGTCAAATTAACTATGTTAGAAATTTCTCCCTTTCAATCCCAGAGGATCCATCTCCCCGCGCTTGAGATTTCAATCAAAACCATTTCTGGTATCGATCAGGAGTTTCCATGCGGGGCAAATAAAATTCGCTGTTTCCGTAAAGCTGATTTTCAAAAACTTAATAGCCCCATCGATACATATGATTGGTCCGATATTCTGGCATGCACCGATGTAAGTGTCACCTTAGAAAATTTTTTTCATACTTTAAAGCAGTGGGGGCAAACTCTCAATTTCCAAAGCACGCGTGCATCGGAAATTCCAAAGCGGTCGGAAATTCTGCCGCAGCGCTGCGGGCACACCGATAGTGTGAGCACTTTCAAATAGCTCAGATCAAAAGGGAAGCGTTGTTTTTCAGTTGTTTAAAAACTGTTAGTTTAGGTTAGGTTGAGTCAGCCAGATGTGGGGCCAGTTACTGACCTTGTGATACCGCACAGGCAAGAGGTCACTCAAGGGGACCTCCCCACTCCTAATGTGTCCTAGGAGTACTACCCGTCCTGCGGCGGCTCGCGGTCCCATCCAGCTTTCCGGATGAAGGCAACGAGTATGCGTGGAGCGATCTCGGTAATGTCTGTTAGGTCCGTGAATGTTGCTGCACCCAGGAGTTTGAGTCGACAGCGACCCAGCGCAGGGCATTGACATAGAAGGTGTGTGACTGTCTCCTCCATTTCTATATCCCCGCAGCTCCTACAGTAATTATAGTGTGGCACCGCTAGTATAGTCGCATGCGTTCCTATTAACCAGCGCTCCGTAATTACCTTGACCACCACACAAAAAAAAAAATTTTTTCCGCCAGACGGAAGTCCCGCCTATTGAGGGTGATAAGCATCATTAATCTTGCATCATCTGATCTAGACCGAATGGGCCAAATTATGAGTGAGTTCCTGCTGTTCTAGAGATTCCTCCATTTCCTCAATGCCTCCAGGTGATCCATGCATTTTACCGTTTTGTGTGCGTTTTGCCCCCCACGTTTTTTTAACTCATTCGTGACATGGAAATACCTATCTGCTTCAACAAATCCTCCTTGGTTTTTGGTGCCTCACGAGCTAAAAAAAATACTAAAAACAAGCTTTAACTTTAATATAATCTAAACTTAATATAAACTACTTGCATATAGATTTTTCAAGATATATTCTAGCTCGGTCATATTTTACTGTGCATAACGCTCAATTATATGGAAAATGTTATCACGGCTGCTGCATTAAATTTACTCAAGATCCGAAGCAGTTTTGTTACTTTGTAAACACTAAGTGTAAACGTGTGTCTTTTCCACCTTGGCTTACGTTTGAAAATTCATCTGCGACCTCGGATCAGGCCATTGCTGATCTTTTGGCCAATGTTTCAAACAACTTACTCTCCGCCTAAAACGACAAATCAGCTGAAATACTGTGCCAGGGCACTGTGCAAACCTCTACATAGACTTTTCAACATATATTTGGAAACCTCGATTTTTTCACTTAAGTGGGAGGAGTCTTTCATGATAAAAAAAGGACATAAGAAAGGAAAGAACCCCGATGCTGCCAACTACAGAGGCATCTATAAATGGTCGGCCATTCCAAAGTTTTTTGAAAAATAAATTACTCCTCATTTGCAACACATTTGCTCTTCGATCATTTCTTCATGTCAGCATGGCTTTATTAGGCGTTGCTCCACCACCACTAATTTACTGAAGTTGACATCCTTTCTCATAGATGGCTTTCGAAAGAGATTTCAAACTAATATTATTCACACAGACTTCAGTAAAGCATTTGATTCAGTCAATTACTTATTCATATTCTCCTAACGTGAAACTCCAGTTACTAAGATGGAAGAACAAAAAGAGTCTTATTTTTAAATGTACATTCTCGCTTGGTCTGTGCTACACCTGGCGTCCCTCAAGGAAGTCATCTTGGCCCGTTACTGTTTACTCTTTTCATGAACGTCTTGCCCCCTGCTAAAACGAACTCTCTAGTTCGCATGTATGCAGATGATGTTAAGCTTTGTCCTCTTCTTTCTTCAATCCAATCTATAAAATTTTCAATAATGGTGTTTTGCAAATGATTAAATACTTCTTATCGTTCTTGCCCTCACCAGGCTATGTATTCTCTCTATCGGATTACCTTAGAAGAGTTAACTCAGGTTAATGTTCTTGGTGTCCTATTAGACTTAAAACATCAATTTGCCGACCATAATTGCACAATGGTTAATAATAAAGGTTAATAAGGCTAAAGGTTTCCTTAGTTTTATTAAAAGGTGGTCAAAAGAATTTAACGATTACTACCTTTTTTTGGTCCGTCCGAACTGGAGTACGGTTCATATGTCTGGAGTCCCCGATATGGAGTACACCAGGACCGTAAAGAATGAATTTTATGTAATGAATGTAAAAAAGAATTTTATAACATTTGCACTTAGAAATCTTAACTGGAATGCAAATTTATCTTCCGTCTTACAGTAGCAGACTCTTACTAATAAACTTGGCGTGCTTGGTGTAGTTTTTCTACATAACCGCATCAATAGCCAGCATTTACTAACACGATTAAATTTCAATATTTGCAATAAAAAGACTAGAAGGACTTTAGTCCTCTATTTCTTAGGCATTGAAGTTCGACATATGCACAGCACGACCCTCTTATCGTGCTTATGTTCAAATTACAATGGTCTCTACTCCCTAACATCTCTCTAGCATATTTAATTTCCTTACTAACTCCTATTAGCTTAATAAATTACAAATAGCTTAATAATTACTAATTAATCGTTTCTCGAGCGCTCTTCTGGGCCTCTAAGCTTTATGATGAATACAGGAATACTAACTGATGTTCTAATTGATGCAAAAGCATAGCTTGCAAATAACTGTTAACCGTTTTTTTCCTTACGCTCTGTTCGCGAGAAGAACCGAAAAAAAGTTTCGGTTTCTCTCTGAGCAGCAGACTTTGTTTCTTTTTTTTCGATTTTCTGTTGAACGCATTACAATGAGCCAATCACGAAACTCTCGATTACCGAACATCGCTCAACGAGAGATTCGAGTGACGCTCGCGCAGAGAGACTCATTAAAAGACCGATTGATTGAAAAAGTCAGCGAAAAAAGTCTTTTCAATAATTTTTCTTCGTTTCGTTGCACAGTGGTACGTTGTGTCGTATTTTAACATGCCATTTTCACGAATAAACTTCTTAAGATTTTAAACATTCCTTTTTCAAATTTTAAACTAATATATTGATTATTTTAATTAAAAAATGAATAGTTTTCTTTTTAATTCATTTATTTTGAGCTAAGCTTAACAACTAATAAAGAATTAAAGTTTTTGGAACCTAGTGAACTACGTCGTTCGCTTAAAATAAAATGTAATATAAAAAATTGATGCACTTTTTTATTAATTTGTCTTTCCATTTTCAATAAATTTGAAAGGTCAATGTTTACACGCGAGATTCACAACGCCAATTGACGCGTTGAACCCACGAAACGTCACATACACATATATGATACATGCACAAAAGAATTTTTGAATCGTCGATCGCGAGATCGACCGAGAACGGTCGATCATTCTCGGACCTTGAGAATCGGACCTCGGACAGTCCGAGAATGAGCAGAACAAACGAAAACAGAAAAAACTGTTCTTCGGCTAATCCCGAGCAAAATTTGTATACGAGTAATTCAATCGGTTGCTCTCAGTCTTTTTGCTCAAAGTCTCAGTGACGAACACTTATTTTGAGACCGCACGAATCGGTTAACAGTTATTTGCAAGCTATGTGTACAAGCCATTTCCAAATTCTGACCGCAAAAAAAATAGATATATATGGCAAATGGCGGATATACTGCTCCGATTCTGATGAAAATTTCATTATAAAATCAATTTCTTAGAATACAAAATTTAGGGAGTCCAGTGTTTCTATATTAAAAAAGACCAAAGTGTGGTTATTTACCATCGTTTAGTTATATAGCTCATATCCCTCCCTATAACATCATTAGTAATTAACAACTTTAAAACCTTAAGACTTATAGCATTTTCAAATTATTCAAATTGGTTTATTTTGTTCATTATATAATTAAATAGAAACAAATACATTATTTATTGAAAAAGTTACGTTTTTATAAAACACAACTATTCCAATCCTGGCAAGATTTCATTATCCTTATATTATAGCATAGATAAACGTATTTAAGTTTTTCCTAATTAATATTTACATATTGTATATAATTCGATACAAAAAAAACACGTACACGCTCAGTTACACACCATTATGCATATTTTTTAACATAGTCGACAAGTAAACATATTGACATACAGCAAAGTACGTTTATAACAAGATGATCATTTAGTAATCATCAAACATATATTATTTTTAGCTTCACAATTGTTAGGAAATTTGTATAATACTTTTGAAAGCACTTGTTTTATTAATTATTATATAATAATATTTAAAGTAACAGAATGTTAGCTCTAAAAACCACGTCCAATGATGCGCCTATTGAAACTAAGATAAGGATTTTTTTGCAACCCTCCTAATGCTGTTCCAGCCACAATCTGGAAAGAGGAAACTGGAATGTACATTTTCCTCCCCCAAACAGTTTAACACACGTTAAGATATCTTTAACATTTTAAAAATTCTTTGAATGTACAATTTTTTGTTTTATTAGATAAACAGTTAAAAATATTCAAGCAAATCATATAAATATTAATTATTTTTCTTACGTATATATATTACGTTTTTTAAATAATAACAAGAAAATACTTAAAAATTTGAAGCGGGAGCTAGGAATTCCTAAATTATAAATTCTTCGCATATTTCGGGAGGACGCACAGTGGGTCCAATAGCTCTGCCAGCAGAATTAAATTAATAACTTTAGTAAATTAATAGATATTTAAATGAAACTTTGTTCTTAAAAGTTTTTAATTTATTTTACGTATATTCTCAAAATTTCAATGTCCTACGTTTGGTATTTCTCATAGCTCCCATACAAATGTTAAAAGAAACCATATTCAACAATATACAATATGTATGTAAGTGTTCACATTTTTTTTTTTAATTTTTTAGTGTTTTTTTGTTTAATTTACATTTTAACTAATGAGTTGGATTTCTATATATTATTCGCTACTATTATTCGGAATCTGAAAATTCAGAATCATTACATAAATGTGGGAAATTTATTAAAAGACCAGCCACAACTTTATCAAATTTAATACATTTAACCGAATTTGTTGACATTTTAGACAATGATGTTATTAGTGGATCAAAAGACACGAGTAATGCTTGTTTCTTGTTTTGAAACTCTTGTTTAAGAGTAGACACATGATTGATCTGCGCCTTATGTCACAAATCACCAAAATCTTTTTTAGGCCTACCAATATCTGATGTTGACGTGAAATGATATAAAATGAGCGCCATATCAAGCCATTTCTGATTTTTTTTTCTCAAAAAATTTTGTGTTGTAACGGCAATCCAAAATTAGCAAATTTTTTATTAATTTCTTTAATATCGTTGTCAGATAAGTTTATGTTCTTCAAAATTATGCCAAATACATATTAATTTAGCACCAACAATTTCCTTGATGCGACATTTTCGCCAAGCCACATGCAAAACAGAACGCGCTTCGGGATTGACATTTCACCTAAAAAGTGCAATAAGCTTAAGGGTTGGACGTAGTTGGGTATAATTTTGGACATTTTCACATCATAAGGACCCACACTTTACATAAATACTAAAATTAGCTTAAATACGATTGAATAAAGTTAGTTGTAGTCCAATGAAGTTAGTAAAGTGCTCAAAGCCAAATCTTGCAAAAGCAACTTACAAATTACACATTTTTTAGATGTACATGCAAAGACAGGTCACGAACATACAATTTATATTTAGTACATACCTTATTTTAAGGGAAACAAGAGTTATTTATATCAATATACGCAAATATATCACTTGTTTTGATAATTTAAAACGAATCACAAATAACCTCAAATCTTTCTGTAGACAGGTGCCGCAAATAAGTTAAGTTTCAAAGCTCGCAGCCGATCAGAGATGCTCTTAAAAACTAATTTAAACGATTTTCTCAACATTTCAAAGCGTTATTAATCGAATAAAATCAAAACTTTACGTATTTTTCAAAAGTTAAAAATCGACTTTTATTCCGCTAGATTTCTCATTGGATCCACTGTGGGACGCCCTTAACCAACAAATTAACCCGCGCTTAAAACACGTATATACGTCGGATTATATACCTATGTAATTGAGCCACTCTTATGGGAATGTTACTCTTACGTTGTTCTGCTACTCTTTGTTCCTATCAAAAAAGGTTTTGGTAATATGTATGTTGCTTCAGTTATATAACAACTATACAAAGCCCACACAAAGAATTAAAACTAAAGAACCTATAACTCACAAAATAAAAAAGAATATTTTCAGAGCTTTTAAAAATAGTTCTCACTCGTGCTTGTTACCAGAAAAAACACAACTGACCCTATATGAAACTGTGTGACAAAAACTGGTCAATACGGTCTCATTTGCTTCGCTCGGGTTATACATAGGTTCACTAAAGATCGTTTGCTATGAAAACGTATATTAAGGTTTAAGCAAGCGGTCTTTAAAGCAGTGCATATTGCACATTGGGCGGAATCGCCGATTTTGCGGCATAAAATTTCAAAATAATTTTGATAAAATAAATTTTTTTTTTCGAAATTCCGTTAAAAAATCGTTGCACTATTAGGAAAAATATTTTTGCGACCATCACTGGCTTTTTGCTTGCTATTTAAAGTCATCTAAGTTATCTTCCATGTGCCAATTGTTAATTTGTGCCAAGTTATCTTCCACGAAGCTTTTTTTTTTCCAAGTTGTCAAGGTATGTTACTTTATAATTAATAAAATATGCAGTATACTTAATATAAATCTTAAGTATGGAAAATATTCATCAAGAACAGTAGAACAGTAGAACGGTACACAGTTCAAAAATTATTTATGTGTTTGATATGATCTATTTAGTTGATTTATGTAAACATGTTTTATATCAAACAAAACCCCAAAAAAGCCTTTGATTCGTGGATTAGAGCTTACGATATTACGTCATATTACGTAAACTGCAAATTTTAAATGTATTTGTTATTCTATATATATAGAAATAATTACAAAATTTAAAATAACTAAACAAATTAAAAATATAAGAATGGTTTTAAGACAACTCAACAATCGTCGTTCCAATTTGTTGGAAGTGTGGCTGGGCAAGGGACGCAATCGTTATGAAATTTGGTAGGTGGGATCAACTGACACTTTTGATTGGCTCTGTGACAAAATAAACAAAAATTTTTAATCTGTTTATCTACCTACTAATTTAATAATATGTAGAATTATACAAGTTGATATAACCTTGTAGTTAAAAAGGAATATATATAGCAAACATCGGATATAGTTGGCCGATCCTTATGGGAATATCATAAAAAAACCAATTCATTTTAATAAAAAATCTAAAATAACGTCCCAAACTTCCATCTTCAAGAACACCAAAGTTGGTATTTTTACCAAATTCCATTTCCGATCGTTCAGTTATATGGCCGCTATAAGATATAGTCGGCTGATCGTTATTAAATTTGGTAGGTGGGACCAAAAATTACCAAAAATAGAATGTACGAAGTTCCAACTTTTTGTCTTCAAAAACACCAAAGTTGGTTCATTTCCGATTTTTCAGTTATATGGCACCTATAGGATATAGTCAGCCGATCCTTATTAAATTTATGTCGTATGTCGTATAATTTTGCCAAAAATAGCATTAATGCAAATTCCGAACTCTATAACTCTAAAAACACCGAAGTTATAGCATTTCCGATCAATCAGTTATATGGCAGCTATAGAATAGTCGAGCGATCCCGGCTTATATATGCAAGCAACCGTTCCGGCTTATATACTGTGTGCAAAGAAAAGAAGGGTGTGTGAAAAGTTTCAAGTCGATAGCTTTCAAACTGAGCGACTAGTTTGCATAGAAACAAACAGACAAACAGGCACATACTAAATGTTAAAACGTTGTCAACCGATGGAAAACGCCAAGTTTTCCGGGCTCACTGTCTCAGCGAACTACACAACCAGGTTGGACAATGCAATCTCCATCCACGCCGAGATCTTCAAGGCCATCGCTCAGAGTTAGTGAAAAATCAAAGCATCCAGTTGGGATTCCGTTATTTTAATATCCGTTCGCTGATCCTAGCAGCATATGGCTAGCAGGGCGGCGTCACCCTCCGAATCCTATGACCCGACATACATACTCATATCAATTTGACATACTAATTATCAAAACGTTGTCAACCGTTGGAAAACGCCAAGTTTTCCGGGCTCCCTGCCTCAGTTTTGGATGCCATTATTGCTGTGAAAATTATCGTGTTGTCAAAGACGAAATGGGGCCGAATGAGGTCATGCAGCTCCGCCATCGTGTTAGAGATTTGCGACAGTCATTCACTGTCCTAGAGTTGGATGATAATCCGTCAAGAACCCTGAGTGCCCTTTGACTATCTGAGAAAATGCCAGTAAGTGCTTGGTATCTAAGTACTTTCATGATAGCTATTACTTGGTAATATACTTGGAAGGTAAGATGAATGTGGAGAATAATGAGCCTTTCCATTGTCTTGATGAGGAAGGAAGACAGACTTATTGGTCTGAAGTTCTTAGGGCAGCAGGTTTTTCCGCTTTAGATATGAACCTTCGTTCATTGCAAGATTGCCTTGAAGATTTTCCTGATCCATAACCACAGATTGGAACCGGCTTTGGTTAGTTGGAACATGCCATCTAAGCCTGAAGATTTTAGAGCTTGAAACAGTTTATCGCCCAAATGAGATTTCTATTACTTAGGAGGTATTCGAGGTGATTCGAACTGCGCCCTTGGCTCTGGGTTTCCTGGTTGTTTTTCTCCTGAGAACACCCTGGGAAATGTGCTTTTGTGAGAGCCTCTTGCGAGGATCTTTATAAGTCAAGAGGCCTTCGATAGCCCCTAAATGCTTGTGCAAAACCTGATCCTTCCTCTTTTTGTTTTTTCGCGGTCTTTCAGAATTTTGGAAATGGTTGGTGCATCGTAATTGTAATTTATAATTTAGCTAATAGGAGTTAGTAATGAAATTAAACATGCTACAATTTAAATTTAAAGGACAGAAAAGAGATGTTATAGAGTAGAATTAGTATTGTAATTTGAACATAAGGCCCTAAGAGGGTCGTGCTGTGTATATGTCGAACTACAATGACTAAGGAATAGAAGACTAAAGTCCTTCTAGTCATTTTGTTGCGATTATTGAAATTTAAGCGTGTTAGTAAATGCTGGCTATTGATGAGGTTATGTAGAAAAACTACACCCAGCATTGTACTACGATTAATTATGCTTCGTAAGTTTATTAGTAAGAGTCGGAAGATAAAGACGGAAGATAAAGATTTGCTTTCCAGTTAAGATTTCTAAGTGCAAATGATATGAAATTCTTTTTTACGGGTTCTATACGGTCCTAGTGTACTCCATATCGGGGACTCCATA